GAACTAAGTCAGAGTGATTGAAGTGATGCTCAACCCAAATCCTATGTCTTCGAGCGAAGACAATGAGAGCAAATCTTATCCAGAGCTGGATGAGTCAGCTTTGCTTGTAGCCCAAGTAAAGTTGTCGTGTGTGTTTGAAATCTGACCGTTGGAACACGTGTCAGTTCCTTAGTGACCCAGGGTCATTTCGGACATATCAGGTCGGGTTGCCTCGTGGCTATAAATAGCCCACCCCCTACACCATAAATTGGTGGCTGCTCAGAGTTAGTTTACGGCTTTTGTCGTTTTGAGAGCAACCCACCTCGAAGCCTTTGAGAGAGAAATCCTTGTGGGGACAAAGCCTAAACACCCAGAGCCAAAGAGTGTTAGGCATCACTGAAGTCTTTCTGTCTGTGTGACCTGAAGACTTATTACACTTGAGGACTGTGTATCCTCTAGCCGGTTAGGCGTCGCGTTCTGAGCATCCAAGAGACATTGTGGATTGCCGGGTGAATGAAGTCTGTGAAGGTTCGGAAGTCTACCTTGAAGACTTACCAGAGTGATTGGGCGAGGACTGTGTGTCCTTAGCTCAAGGGGAATAAGGTGAAGACAGGGTCTTCTGAGTTGAATCTCAGCCTCCCTAACCAGACGTACAGTTGTCACAGCAACTGGAACTGGTCCAACAAATCATGTGTCTTCAACAAGTGACTGGTTCTATATCTTCCCTCCTTTACTTTGAGTTTGTCTTCATGAAGTCATTGCTTATTTGTCTTATCTGGTTGACTTCATTGCTTGACTACTATTGTTGATTGGCTTCATACTATCTTCCATCCTGATCCTACTACCTAGCTGCTATTAGTCTTCGTACGTTAACACTATTGCATACTTGACTATGGCTTGCTTGTTGTAGTTTATCTTCCGCTGCATATCAATTAGGTCATTTCTATTGTTTGTCTTCGAAACTTCCACGTTTTGAAGACTTTGATAAAAATCGCCTATTCACCCCCCCTCTAGTCGATAACTAGCACTTTCACTTTGTATCAAAATATAAGACGATTTTTTATACTCCCTTTGTATCAAAAATCGTCATTTTGATACAGAGGGAGTAGGCTATATCAAGGTTGTGCCTGCAAAGAAAATTATTTCAAGGAATTGAAGGGTTGTAAACCTGTGACACTACATGTAAAGAAGGGTGGAAACTTATACACCAATGCCACACAAGACTTGGAGGGGCTAACTTCCCCTGGTAAGAAAATAACAATGATGTTTCTTAAATAAATCAAGACATGAATAGATAACTCCAAATTTACTACATACTATATAACTGGAGGAAAATGTTTGAAGGAAGGCAACATATGTAAGTTATAAATCTCCCACAGGGTGAGTTCTCACTAGTGCAAAACCGGACTTTAGCACCGGTTCGTAAGGCCCTTTAATGCCGGTTCTGCAACAGGCACTAAAGTGTGGGGACTAAAGGCCCCCCTCCATTTAGTACTGGTTCAACACGAACCGGCACTAAAGGGCCACCACATGGCACGAGGCGCGCTGTGGTCTGGGGGACCTTTAGTCCCGGTTGGTAACACCAACCGGGATTAAATGATATTTTTTTGAAATAAAACAAAAACAACCCACCTACTGGGCCGGCACAGCCTGCATACGACTAGAAACCGAACCTCTAATTGGGCCAGGATGCAGGCCCGTACGGCCCGGTAGGCCCCACAGGGCAAAAGACTTACAATAGGCCCACAAAGGCCTGCTTAGAGAGGAGCTCGACACGGTAGCCGCGGCGGGGCTTATAAACCGGTGTGAGCTCCTCTCAACTAGCGAGGTGAGACTAAACATTGTGCACTATGGGTGGCAGCGCGCCCCTTTAGTACCGGTTGGTGGCACGAACCCATACTAAAGGGGGGGTCTTTAGTACCGGTTGGAGCCACTAACCCGTACTAAAGGTGTAAGTGCATCTAGTGCCCCTTGGTGGTTTTGGTGTATTGAAGACTTATAGGTTAAGGGACTAATATGTTTGTGAGTGTACACAGGCTCTATAAGTCAATGAGGAGTTTGATATTTACAGTGAAAGTCGACCCCTAAAAATGAATGTCTTCGGCTGAAGACTTTGGTTCTCCTGAAGACATTGAAAGTGAAGAAATTGGTGTGACTATGAAGACTCGATATTCATGCGAGGAATCTGAAGCGTGAAGACTTTTGTTTTTGTAGTTTCATTTTCTCTTTCTTGAGTCATAGGAAACACCGTAATATTAAAGGGGGTCGAGGTAATACTAAGGAAACAGATTTCCAAGTGATGCTCATCTCAAAATCCTACACCTACCCAATCCTTCGAGTCAAGCCATTGGAAGTCTCATATCAGTTCAGTCAATTTCTTCAATGACAGAGACGAAGATCTTCTGGTCTCTGAGGAATTTGTTCTGACTGAGGAGTTAGGAATTCGCCAGTGCGGATTGCCTACACAGTGAGGAACATGATAGCCCTGAGGAATTCGAACCTCAAAATATCCGACCGTTGCTGAGCCGCGCGCTAGCTGTTCCAAAATATCCTACCACCTAACGGTCATATCTGCCAAGGGCATTTATGTCTTATCATGTCGGGCTGCTCCCTAGGCTATAAATAGCCGCCCCCCTACAACCACTAGCTGGTTGGCTGCTCCGAGAGAAACTGACACTTGTCATTTGAGATCATCCCATCCTCCGAGGACTTTGAGTGAAAATCATGAAGTGAGGAAAACCCAAATCCCAAACCCAAACCTACAAAACCCAAAGTGATTGAGCATCACTGAAGAGATTGTTCCTGTGTGGAACCGACGCTTGTTACCTTTGAGGACTGTGTATCCTCCAGGCGGTTAGGTGTCATGGTCTGAGCATCCAAGAGGAATTGCAGATTGCCGAGTGACCAAGTATGTGAAGGTTTGGAAGTCACCTGTGAAGACTTACGACTACTGTTGGGCGAGGTCTGTGTGATCTTAGCTCAAGGAGAATATGGTGAGGACTATGTGTCCGGGACTGTGTGTCCTCGATTTTAAATACTCAGCCGCTCCAACCAGACGTAGAACTATCACAACAGTTGGAACTGGTCTACCAAATCATTATCCTCACCAAGCCAACTGGTTTTATTTCCTCAACCCTTTCATTTCCTCATTATGTGTTGATGTACTGATCATTACTACTTGAAGACATTGACTGAAGACATTCCCTATTTCCTCAATCCTAATTCTTCAGTCTGTTTGTCTTCATCCTGCTTATCCTGTGTTTACGCTTTCTGTACTCTGTGTTTGTCTTTTATTTCATCATGATGACTATGTTGTTACTCTGTTTTGCTTATATCTGAGTACTTATTCCACTGCAAGTAGTTCTTCACTTAGGAATTTCCTCACCCAGAAATTCCTCAGTGAAGATTTCATAAAAATTGCCTATTCACCCCCCTCTAGTCGACGTAACGCACTTTCAAAAGGCCAACACCTCTTTAGTATTGGTTCGTGGTCACCTTAGTGCCGGTTCAATTACAAACCGGGATTAATGAGCTTCACATTAGACCCTTTTTCTACTAGTGTCTCCTGAATATTGCCACCGCGTTGACTACTCAACAAAAATATTTTTCAATGAATTCTTAATTTTACAGGAATTTCAAAATAACTCCAAGTGAAATAGTTCAATTCCTGCAGGATTCAGTAAGAAATATGCAGTACTCCAAAACAAACCATCAAGACAGGAAATGCATATGATGCATTGGTTGCCAGGATACAGTGTCATAAAAGAAAATAACTGAGATGCAGCTGACCTTTACAAGTAAATCAGTATTAAGCTGCCAACTTGCAGCTACCTGAAACGAGGAATTGCCAACATCATCTGTTGGTTTGTCTTTATCCACCCTAAAGTTCACACAAGATATAGTTGTAGTGAACCGAATCGGTCGCAAGACTAACAAATATGTCTTCTTTTAAGGCATACCTTGTGGCTAGCTCAAGTCCAAGATCAATGTAGTTTAAAGTTCCAACAATATCAGGTTCACCCCGATACTTTAGTTCCTGCTGTCATATGCAGACTGTTGGTTAGAATGAAATATCTAAATAATGCAATTTCGTCTTTGAACTCATGAAGGACAAAATTCTTTCTGCTTAGTGTCGCTCCTGTAATTCACTGGGTGGTTATGATTTCTCCTAATTTCGCAATTTTAGAAAGTAATCCCAAATTGGATTTTATTCTGCTGGAATTCCAAACGATGTGATATTTGTTTTAAATGCTCATAATAAAATTTTAATGCATGCATTAAATATTATTATTCAAAGAAATGAAATATAATACCCCCAAATTAAATATTGTAGTCTATCGAAATATTTTGCTAAAACCTTTCAAGAAAAATGTTTTCCTAAAAGATCAAATAGAGGACAAATGAACCAATCCCCAAGGGCTAGCTGTATGAACTGCTTGAGTAAATTACTAAGTAGGATAAAGGAGATATCTTTTAAATCTCGATTCTAGTTGTAGGAGCAAACTCTAGGTATCATGGAATGAAATGCAATTGCACTTACCTTCCTAGAAATATGGTACTGATAGAATGATGCAACCAGCTGCACACCAAGGACACGGAAATGCCATTGCATGAGAATAGTTACATGTAAATTTTCTTGCGAATGAGATTTGATGAAGGGAAAACTACATGTAAGATATCAAGGTTCCCCTTTAGCATAAGAACTCTGTTTCGCTGTGATTGATCATTGGTTATAAAGAAGTGCATACTATAGAAGTAAATAATTTATCAAAATTATAAACAGAGAATGGTATAGTTTGATAATTTTTCAAAGAATAATCATGTTCACAATTCATCAGTATTAATTATTTAAAAATCAGAGCATCTTTATTATATGCATCACTGCATCAGATACACATCATGGCTGGCAGTCTGTTTATAATCCTGTCAAACTATGTAAGCCATTGCAAGCTAACAAACGAATACACAGCATGACCGGCACTCTGTTTATAATCTTGTGAAAATACCTAAGCCGTTTCAAGCTAACAAACAATAGGAATCTTTCTTGTCAAATAATAAAAAATATAACAAACCTGTGACCTTCTAATGAGCTCTAGTGCAAAAGTAAATGAAGCGCTGAGTGGGCTAGTTGAGCCCAGACCATAACCGATTGCAAAATTCCAGTTCTTCAAGTCTGTAAAAGGCATAGGATGCTTGCTTCCACCTGTTGGGATTATATATTTTTAGACACAAGAGAAAATCAAAAATGCTTTCGCGAGTGACACAAAATAAAATGCTGCAAAGTGTAAATACAGTGAACTCCTAAGAGGAAAATGCTTGTAATAATAAATATATGACATATCAGCAGAACATTAGATTTGATGCAGTGCGAATTACAATAACCTAGAATTGCAACTAGTTAATACTCCCTCCGTCCCATAATGTAAGACCATAGCTTGCAAAATGGTCTTACATTATGGGATGGAGGGAGTACATAGCATGGAAATCCTGTAATTTAAAAAGAAAAGGTCTCCAAGTGCACAAACTTGTGGACACATGTACTTGACTAGTTGCCCATTTATTTCTTTATAAATTCCTTGAGTATAAAATACACAGTAGGTTCTACTAATATCCTAGTTACAAATCTACTGTAGAGAAAAATCAAATGATATGACATCATCCTGTTTATCGTTTGCACTAAGCTTCCCAATAAATTATGGACAACATGCTATTGTCTTTTTACAGAAAAAAATGAATTTGCAGCGTATAAACCCTTATAACATAAAAAAAAACTTGTCCAAATCACTCTTGTATGGTATGCACCTTATTTATGGTCATTTCTAATCGAGTGAAACATTGTAAACATAAAGCCTAATGTAAAGGAGCATTTTCCATGTGGACACAGAAGAGTATCAAATATTCAAATAAAAAGGGATATGCAAGAGCCTCAAAATCTTTGGCCTAGAATATATTGCTCTGACAATCAGTGAAAGTTTAGTAACACAAACCTAGCGGTTTGTATTGTATGCCTGCACTTAAATTTCGTTTTCTCCCAGCCAACCATGCACCGTAGGGTACCTCACCAGGCGCTACAAACAAAAGTAATATCAGCATACCATGACATAACTGAATGCAGGTATTATTTTATTGGAGAATAACATAAGTAAATAGATTCAAAATTGATACTAATACGTGACACATAATATTTTGACTCTATAATTATAATTCAATACTCGAACTAGAACTATAAGTAATAACATACAAGGAAATGGGACGAAGGAGACCCCAATTGATAGATTCTCTGAACCATATCTTAAACCCATGACACCATAATCTGCTGAGCATGCTCTGCAAAACAGAAGAATACAATTCGCCATGTTACTAATCATATTTCCAAATCAAGAAAGAGAACATCTCTTGTACTTGGTCATGGAAATGTCTCATCAAGATGCATGTTCGTGGGAAGCTATGTGTACAACTAAATGGATGACTGACAGCCACACAGTCAAGATATACAACCGACCTGTTTGCCATATTCAAAGGGAACGTCCCAAAGGCGCCAATACCATACTTCGGATAGTAAACGCTTGAAGACAGACGCATTGTGCTGGAAAATACAAGTTATAGGCCGAATCAGTACAATTTCTGCACCTTGCATAACAGAATTAGAATTGTTCATGACTAACAAGGGATCACTTACGGTTTCAAAGTTGCACAAGTAAGTCCACAAATGTATGGGGATCGTTCAAATCCCTACAAAAATTATGTAATAGCAAGTAGTATGCATTAAAGAATTAGGTAATATAGCAATTGTAAACTATGCAATAAGCACCTCTGCCGTCGAAAGTGAGCTTCCCCCCATTTGTCGACATCTAATGGATTAAGTCAGGGAAAAAAAACTTCTCTTGCAGGAAAAGAGACGAGTCCTGAAATAGAGAAGCTACATATATATAGAAAAAACAAAAGGCGTATATACATAAGTCGAGAAACTCATTTTACACGAAGCTTCAACAGCAACTATGTATACTACTGAAACTCGTTTTGATAATCACTATTTGCTCAAGCGCTTAGTGATATTGCTCCAAAACCCACAACCACTTTCTCTATCCAAATTTGTCCAAAACCTACATTCCAACTCGGTCCCACTGAGTTCATCTAGACAATGCCAAAGCCAAACCCTAACAAATCGGATCCACCGATATGGATCTCGGTCTCACCTAGATGGCCTTGCCAACTCTCTATAACCTGTTGCAATTATTTTTGGTCCTACCGAGTTTTGCAATCAGTGCCACCGAGATGGCTTGCCAACTTTTTCTTGCCTTATTGCTTCACTTCGGTCCTACCAAGTTGATGGAATCGGTGCCACCAAAACAAGGTTCTGCCCTACCATTACACATCACTCGCTCCGAGTTGTTTCCAGTCAGTCCCACCGAGACCTCCAATGTCCATATCTTTTACACAGGTCGGTGTCACTGAGATTTCTGATCGGTGCCACCGAGTTGAGTCAAAAGTGTGTAACAGTTGGATTTCGTGTGGAGGCTATATATAACCCTCCACCCCCTCTTACTCAGTAGGCGAGCCATCAGAACTTGCCTACACTTCCACTACTCATTTTTTGAGAGAGAACCACCTACTCATGTGTTGAGATCAAGAGATACAATTCCTACCATTTGAACCTTGATTCTTAGCCTTCCCCAAGTTGCTTTCCACTCAAATCCTTCTTCCACCATAAGTAAATCTGTGAGAGAGAGTTGAGTGTTGGGGAGACTATCATTTGAAGCACAAGAGCAAGAAGTTCATCATTATCAGACCGTCTATTACCTTTTGGAGAGTGGTGCCTCCTAGATTTGTTAGGTGTCGCTTGGGAGCCTCTGACATGATGTGGAGTTGAACCAAGAAGTTTGTAAGGGCAAGGAGATCGCCTACTTCGTGAAGATCTACCTGAGTGAGGCAAGTCATGTTGGAAACATGCCCTAGGGGCAATAATAAATGAGTTATTATTATATTTCCTTGTTCATGATAATCGTTTATTATCCATGCTATAATTGTATTGATAGGAAACTCAGATACATGTGTGGATACATAGACAACACCATGTCCCTAGTAAGCCTCTAGTTGACTAGCTCGTTGATCAATAGATGGTTACGGTTTCCTGACCATGGACATTGGAGGTCATTGATAACGGGATCACATCATTGGGAGAATGATGTGATGGACAAGACCCAATCCTAAGCCTAGCACAAAGATCGTGTAGTTCGTATGCTAAAGCTTTTCTAATGTCAAGTATCTTTTCCTTAGACCATGAGATTGTGCAACTCCCGGATACCGTAGGAATGCTTTGGGTGTACCAAACGTCACAACGTAACTGGATGGCTATAAAGGTGCACTACAGGTATCTCCGAAAGTGTCTGTTGGGTTGGCACGAATCGAGACTGGGATTTGTCACTCCGTGTAAACGGAGAGGTATCTCTGGGCCCACTCGATAGGACATCATCATAATGTGCACAATGTGACCAAGGGGTTGATCACGGGATGATGTGTTACGGAACGAGTAAAGAGACTTGTCGGTAATGAGATTGAACAAGGTATCAGTATACCGACGATCGAATCTCGGGCAAGTACAACACCGTTAGACAAAGGGAATTGTATACGGGATCGATTGAGTCCTTGACATCGTGGTTCATCCGATGAGATCATCGTGGAACATGTGGGAGCCAACATGGGTATCCAGATCCCGCTGTTGGTTATTGACCGGAGAACGTCTCGGTCATGTCTGCATGATTCCCGAACCCGTAGGGTCTACACACTTAAGGTTCGATGACGCTAGGGTTATAAAGGAAGTTTGTATGTGGTTACCGAATGTTGTTCGGAGTCCCGGATGAGATCCCGGACGTCACGAGGAGTTCCG